AAAAGAAGAAAGGTGATACAGTAAATTGCAAGATAAGTGGGATCTGAACTAGAGCAAAGAGTTGCAGACCCACACATTTACAAGTATGAAATACTCAAGAGGAAAAGAAACAGCAGGATTCGGTAGTTAGTAACTGGGTAATTAGCTGAAAGTAGAGGGCAAAAATCAAATACTGCTCACACTGGAAGAAGAAAACCCTGGGAAGAGAGTGATTTTCCCCACCATTGGGGATTAGACCCAGGGGAGCATTCCACTAAACTACATCTCCAGTTTTTTAATTTTTGAGACAGGTTCTTACTAAATTGCTGAAGTTGGCCTCAAACTTACAATCCTCTTGCCTCCACCTCCCAAGTCACTTGGGATTACAGGCATACGCCACCATTCCACCTTGGGAAGGAACCAATTTAAATAAGATGAAAAGTTCTGCTTGGGATCTCTAACTAGAGATGCTTTGAGACATCTATTTGCAGATATTCAGCAAATTGTTGGACATACTGCTCCGAGAAATAAAAATTCTAGGTATTTGTATCTACAAATACACTTTTGGAATACATTAGCACTTAATTTATAACTAATATAGATATGAGTGGACAGTGCATCATGCAAAGATAGCATGCACTGTTAGAACAGTGAGAGCCCAAAATGAAACAGCAACAACAAAACCCACTAATATTTAATGCTCAGGTTTAACAAATACAAAAGAAAAACTGGAAAAAGAAAAAGTAGTGGTCAGAGGCAAATTAGGAAAGTGTTTTAGCCATGGAAGCCAAAAGGGAGACTTTCCAAGAAGAAATTATTATCAGGATCAAATATAAAACACAGGCCCAAGAGATTATCATTAAAATAAGTGGTCACTGGAATTGATGACCTAGAAGTCACTGATAATCTAGGTAAATGAAGAGGTCCTAGCTCTTCTACTTTGTGTCTTTATAATTTGGGGCAAGGTAGTTCCTTTCCTCTTAATTCCTCATCTATATAATGAGGATAATAGTGGTACTTATAGGCTTTATGAGAATTAAATAAGATAATGTATGCAAAATTGTTAGCATAATACTGTCTTAGAATAGGACCTCAAGTTTGTCTTTATTGAACATACCAGATAAAAATTATAAAATGATTAAAGAAATTCACTGCTTTTTTTTTTTTTTTTTTTTAAACAGTGCTGAGGATCCAATCCATGGCCTCTCTAATGCTCTACCCCAAGCTACACCTTCAGCCCCAGGAAATGTCCCTTTTAAAAGGCATAGATGCATCAGATAGAGCTCTAATCTCCAGGATATACAAAGAACTCAAAAAGTTAAACAACAAAAAAACAAATGGCCCAATCAACAAATGGGCCAAGGACCTGAACAGATACTTCTCAGAAGAGGATATACAATCAATCAACAAATACACAAAAAAAATGCTCACCATCTCTAGCAATCAGAGAAATGCAAATTAAAACTACTCTAAGATACCATCTCACTCCAGTAAGAATGGCAGCCATTATGAAGTCAAACAACAAGAGCTGGCAAGGATGCAGGGAAAAAGGTACACTCATACATTACTGGTGGGACTGCAAATTGGTGCAGCCAATTTGGAAAACAGTATGGAGATTCCTTGGAAAACTGGGAATGGAACCACCATTTGACCCAGCTATTCCTCTTCTCGAACTTTACTCAAAGGACCTAAAAACGGCATACTACAGAGACACAGCCACATCAATGTTTATAGCAGCACAATTCACAATAGCTAGACTGTGGAGCCAACCTAGATGTCCTTCAATGGATGGATGGATAAAAAAATGTGGCATTTATACACAATGGAATATTACTCAGCGCTAAAAAATAATAAGATCATGGCATTTGCAGGCAAATGGATGGCATTAGAGCAGATTATGCTAAGTGAAGTTAGCCAATCCCTAAAAAACAAATGCTGAATGTCTTCTCTGATATAAGGGAGGTGACTCAAAATGGGGTAGGGAGGAAGAGCATGAGAAGAAAATTACCTCTAGATAGGGAAAAGAGGTGGGAGGGAAAGGGAGGGAGAAGGGGAATTGCATGTAAGAGGGAAGGAGACACTCTTCATTATACAGAATTCAGGTATGAAGATGTGAGGGGAAAAAAAAAGAAGTAGGTCACATTAGTTTGGGTAGAGAGTAGTGATGGGAGGGGGAGGGAGGGGAAGGAGGGAATGGAAGGACAGCAGAACAAAATAGGCATTATTATTGCTGTGGGTATATATGTGACTGCATGACCAATGTAATTCTGCAACCTGTACACTCAGAAAAATGAGAAATTATATTCCATCTGATTCAAATATATGATATGTCAAAAAAATTTAAAAAATAAAAGGCATGGATGTTTGTGCATTTATGACAAGTCCTTATGGAATCCTGATTTACAGGCTCGTAGTTAGCTTCAATAAATAGGTCACTATTAGTCCACTGGGGGGCGGGGCACATTGTAGATAAACAAAATAACTCTACATATGTGTGTATATATTTTACAAGTCACTAAAAAAATGTCAAATACTTGATTGTAATTTCAAATTGGAAAGAATCTTCCTCTTAAATGGCACTGAGATACACCTCCCATTAATTTCTGGAAGAAAGTATACACTGAAGACACTTGTTCATCTTTGTGTCAAAAATGAATTAAACATAACTCTGAATAGTAATAAGTGCTATAATGTTGTCTCTCTTTTTAATTTACATGCACAGTCGTCTTTAATGATATAGTATATAACTCTCCCAGCCAATCCAAAGAGACCAAAAGATTCAATTATTCCCCAGATCCACAAGCAGTTACCTATTTCCCTTATATATCAGAATTTCATTACTGCTAGAACAAACAGTCAGCATATAGTAAAAGATCTTATGATCAATAATCAACATGCCTGAGAATCTAGAGGCATGCATAAAAATACATTAAATTTCATAATATATAGCCTCATTACTGCTAAGAGTGTTGTCACCTTTTAAACAAACAAAACAACTTCCCTTTAATAAAACAAGGAGTAAAAACATCAGTAAAGCTCTGCATTAAAGTAATGAAAATATAATCTATAATTAAGATGTGAATAAATGATTTGATTAATAATTTAAGAAAACATAAAGTATGTAGCTTGGTAGTTGTAGTAAACATATATGATGAACAAATTACATTCAGGAATTTTACACAAAGGTATTCAGTGGTATGGTTCCTAGCAAAAGTCCTTAAGACTATTTCCCCCAGAAAATAAGTCTATTCAGCAAAATCATTCCTTAGAAGGATTTACTAACTGCAAATGAATACATAGTAAAACACCCTCACTGCACATCTTCATTGTCCTTTTTACCTCTCCTCTGTACTTCAAGTACAATAGTCACTAGACTGCCAAAAGCACCAGAAAGCACAGACCTTAGATATCTGTTTTCAAAAATATTTTGCAGATATTAAGCAACTAAAACTAAGATGTATGGACTCTATAACTTAAAAATGAATTCATTTTGTAACATCAAATAGGAAAAAAATGTTTTTTCCTCTGTTTAGCATTCTCACTACATAACACTAATCAAGACAAATTCTCAATATACAAAACTCAAACAATAAGAAAATAAAGACCCTCCCCTCCTTCAGCCCTGGAAATACTACACAATAACTGAGTATTGACACTGAAGCACTGAAAAAAAAAAAGTGCTCTGTTAAGGATTAAAAAGCATTTTCAAGAAAAATACACAAAAAAAAGCTATTTCACATAGTTGTACTACATCATATACCAAGTGAGTAGCTATCCCAAGTATTGTAAATGGTACTTTTCAATTAGTAAAAAAGTCAATGATCTGAAAAAAATATTTTTCAACCACAGAATAAGCAAAAGTGCATTATGATTTATGAGAGATTAGGGATAAAATGGCATTATGTGTTGAAATGAAGGACAGAGCATCAGGGTAAATATGATGTCTTTGTTATCTTCCCCAAAACAATTTAGCTGGCATTGGAACAGTCAACACAAAGGAAAGAAGGAGTTACCTCCAAGTCAGGACAGAGCACTATGGTTGTACCAATCACTGTCTAGCTGCCACTGCTCCTTTTGTGGCAGGGTTAGACCCTTACAAAGAAGTGATTCTCTTGGTTGAACCAACAACAACTTAGTCTCAACATTTAATGGGAAACAATTTTTAAATAACTTGAATGAATTTAATACCTATCAACTGTCAATGAAAATATCAAGACTAATTAAGCAGTGTTGTATAAATATACATGACAGTCATTGCATATGAACTCAAAACTTGTACACTTCAGTACATTCATTTTTTCTTAAGATGACATTGAGCTAAACATATGAAACAAAGTAAGAAGAGTCTTTGTAATGTAAACTTCTATAAAAATAATATATAATACATCCCTTACTTTAGTTAGCAAAATCACCAGGGAGAAAAATCCATTATGAAAACTAAACCCAGGCACTTCCCTAGTATTTCTTTTATGTTTCTCCTGGAGTCAATTAAGTAACATTTGTTTCACATGTCTACTCAGGGGTGTTTAAAGGGACAACCGGCCCAGACCCAAGTTCATTTTGTAACTGGAGTGGGCTACCCCTCTCCACATCCAAGCACACAGATATACGGTTAGAATGCCTTATGTAGTACTATCCTAAATTGAAGGAAGCAAAAAATAAAAAACAACCAGAAGACAACAACAAGAAATTCATCAAATCACCCCAAGTCTAATGACACTCAAAGGCCAGCAGTACCCTGCGCCTCAAAATGCTCAAAACCCTGCTACAGAAAAACTAAAAATAGTAAATAAGAGTGGGGGAAGTGTTGGAGACAGAAGTCACACTGTCCAGGTGAGCTTGAAGTAGGTAGAGCCAGAGGTGATGGGGAAGCAGAAAAGTGACGCAGCCAGGGCGGTCACCTGTGGGGCCACTTGACCCAGCCCCGCCCCCAGGGAAAGCAGCCAGAATTGCAGCCGGAAACCCTAAAAGACGCCGGGAAAACACACAGCTGGGCCCCGTAAGCCCATCCTGGAACTTACCATCCACTGTTTTCTTCTTGAAGAGGGACGCCATGGTTGGGGACCGCGCCCGGGCGGCCCGGCTCGGCCCGGTCCGGCCCGAGACTAGGAAAGGCAAGAAGGGAAAGGACAGGCCTTTGGAGGGCTCGGGGTGGCGGAGCGACCGAGCAAAAGGACAAGGGCCGGGTCGACACGCAGGACCCGTGGAGGGCGTGTATCCGCGAGGCTACCGCAGCCGCGTCGCGGGGAGCTCAGGTGACCGGGAACTAAGACACTTTTTGGAGAAGTCACTTCTAGGCGGCGCCTGCGCAATCTGCACGCACGCCTGCGCACTGCGCCTCTGAAGCCGCTGCCTCTGCCCTCACTTCAACGGCTGCCAGTTCCTGGGCGCTGCGGGGTCGTGGGTGGGGGATACCACGCTGGCTCGGTACGGCGTCGGGAGCTGGCGGGCGCGGCTGGGGCTCCAGTGGGTGTCCCTGCTGACTGCGGACAGAAGGAAGCCTTGTTTAGCGCTTTCCGTCCTGCCCCGGGGAGGCTGGAGTAGGGGGTCCCCAGGGTCCTAGGGAAATTGCTGGTCGTCCCGGAACCGCCTGGGCCCACTCTTGATCTGTAACTGTCCTGTTGCTGCCAGTATTAATTTTTTTTTCTTACAAAAAAAAAAAAAAAGAAAGAAAAAGAAAGAAAGAAAAAAGTAAGAGGGCTGGTGGGAATGCTGAGTTCAGCGCTCCGCGGTTGCCTTTCGAGTTCACGCCCTTTCCTGCAGTATCTCGCTCAGGGATCTCTTCCTACTGAGGGACCCTAAGCTTTCACGTGTCGCCCTTGACCCCGGGCACCGGTGACCTGGTGTGGGTCTCGGATGGTGTCCAGGATTGGGGAATGGCGCGGGGAAGGAAGGCATGAGAAGCAAGTTTCTTTATGCACCACTTTCTGTTTAATGCTTTTGCCTGGAAACCTACATAAAAATACACAGGTATTTCTATGCGGGTTTAAATATCTACATCTCTATATCTTTATTTCTTGTAATTATTCAGGAGAAATTCATGACTCTTCAGTGGACCTATGATAATGCTATACAGCTGTATATTGGTCTTTGGTATATAAAAAAAAATCTCCATATCATTTAAAGGAAAAGTATAATAAAATATTTAAAGAATACTTGCATGTATAAGTATAAATATGGAATATACAATCTTGTATTTCATATCTCTTTTTAATGTATTATTTCACTGTTTGGAATCTTAATTTTGCTTTGAACTTATTTTCCTCCCAATTTACTGCTTAGCAACACTGTCTTCCACAGGATAAAAATAACAGCTCTAGCTTGGGGTATTGCTGACTGGTAGAGAGCTTGTTTATCATGTGCAAGGCGTGGGGTTCAATCCCCAGCGCCGAAATAATAGTAACCATAGCAGTGTTGTTGTTGTTGTTGTTGTTGTTTTTAAAGTATATATGACTTCTTGTTTGGAATTTACTCCAATCACAATATTAATATTATCACTCATTTTGGGATTTATGAATCGTGTCTCAAGAATTGTTAACCATTTGGGAGCATCAGTTGCCTTCTCATTTCTTTTCTCTTTGTAAAATATCAAAGCCCTCATGGCCAATGACAATCACTTTCTGGTACTAGTCACAAATATGCTCAAGAAGACTTTCATAAAATGATATAATATGTGAAGTATAATTGTCTTGTTCCTCCTCAAGTTATTTAGGTGTTCTTGGACGAGAAAGTAAGGAAAAATTAGGGGAAAATGTACTTGACATGATGGTCTACACCCATTGCCTGGCCTTTCCTGGAGTAAGCTCTATAGTAAAAAGGCAGATTGCCGTGGCATCCCGTTGTAATGAACAGCACAGAGCCGTGCTTGGAGGCATGAGAAGCAATAAGCTGTTATGTGTGTAGAAATCGTACTTCTCCCTGCTGTAGTCACCCTTGTTTTATTACTCCTACACAATCCCCCCCACTGACCCAATTGTAACAGTTGGGAAAATGCCAAAATACTTAGCAGCAACCATATGGAAACCCTCCAAAAGTGCACAGCAGGAGCTAAAGGCAGGGCTTGTTCATTACAATAAAGATAAAACAGAAATATGTACTATTTAAACTCAGCACTTTAATAGCTTGATTCTCCCATAGATTGGAACAGACTGGCTGGCATCCATTCTGATTAATTGGTGCCCAGTCTGTATCCGTACATATTTTGTATATCATTCCTTATATGAAGGGCAAGATACATTTAAATAAAGCTGAAATTTGGTACCCAAGAAGTTGTAAACCAGAATACAATACTGTTCTTCATTTATTTAAAGTCCCCATTGTCATGTATAAATTTGCTGAATCAGCAAGACATGTATAGAGGATAGAGAAAACATTTTAATTTTTATCTCATTAAGAATTAATGAACTAATGTCCTGTGGTCATATCTTTATGACCTGATGCTCATTTTCTAAATTGCTCAGTGAGAAGTATTTTTTCATACCTAATGAAACATACCATTCTGTATGCTGGGGATACACCAGTGAAGAAACAAATACCATCTTCTCCCCTTGGCTTTTACCTCCCTCCCTAACATTTTTTATCTTTTCTCAATTGTCCATCACAAAGAGGCAGGCTTTGACTCAGTATAAGAAAAGACTTCTGAAAATGAGCTATTCAAAAATGAAATGAATGCTGTATAAGGTAGTGAGTTTCTTGTCACTGAAGTGTTCAAGGACTATGTTATCGTAGACAGGATTTCTTTAAAGAATCAAATCCTTGATTAGAATATTAATAAGATACCTTTAAAATCTGAAATTATGGGGCTGGGGTTGTGGCTCAAGTGGTAGCGTGCTTGCCTGGCATGCGCGGGGCGCTGGGTTCGATCCTCAGCACCACATAAAAATAAAATAAAAAGATGTTGTGTCCACCGAAAACTAAAAAATATTTAAAAAATTCCCTCTCTTTAAAAAAAATCTGAAATTATATAGTAAATAAAATATAACTTAGGCGAAATACCTTGGCTTGTGGTGTTTGAAACCCTATGATAATACTACTAAATCTTGGCTTTACCTATAAAAATATGGTAGAACCAAATGATATAGCAACCCACCATTTCAAATCACCCCAACTCAGCCTTCATCTCTGTTCTGCAACTTTACCACTCATGTTTTTCTGCTTCCATCCTTACCACCTCTGTTCTTTTAAAACATAACAGGCAGAGTGTTCTGCTTAGAATGACATCATGTTATTGTTTGGCAAAAAAGATCAACATAGTCTCAATACTTATATCTGAAACACTCATGTGCACACACCCACCTGTCTTATTGGATAAACTTCTGTTATATGTTCATTAGATGTCCAGATTTTCACTATCTAGATTTTGCCCTTCTGATTATATTCCTTCATTATAGTGTCAGCCAGATAAAACATATTCTTTAGATGTGACGTCAGGATAATGTGATCTATTACCTCTCTTGTTCTATACACTGTTTCTGATAGCACACCAATTGCATTAGCAGTTTTGACAATAGTTTCTTTGACTCACATCAAACTTTTACTCTAGTAAAAACCTTTAGCACTTTTTTAAACAAAATTCCCACTCAGTCCTACCCATCTTATACTTGATTAATGGATAATTTTACTCCAACTACAGAGTTCTTCTTGCATCATTTAGAAACACCCATACATCTTCGTACTGATTCACTTATGAACACCTTTGAGGCACAGTAGCTATCTATGAATCCATTCATATAAAATAATATTTTGTAATTAAAACCTTCACCTTTAAGACCATTTTGAAGATTTTTATAATCTTTAATAATACAGAAGCAATGTGCTGATATAAAGGTGTAAAATGACAATGCTATATTCATGTTTTATGAGTTACAGCAGCCATAAAGTTAAAAATTAGTTGAGTTTGGCATTAATTCTTTCTTGGAGAAACATGATTCATCCACATGCTCAAGACTTTTCCCATGCATTAAAACATAATTCAATCCCCTACTTAAATTTGTTTCCTAGGGTACTCCATCACATAGTTTCCCCCTCTTTGAAAACCAGATACTTGCCATTTCTCATTCTTTTTGGATGTAATCTGCTCTTCTGGCTCTGGAAGGCAGGCTGCATCATGGTGAATGCTGATTGTGGACAGAGACTGCTGGGTCTACAACAGGTTCTGTAGCTTTGTAGCTGTTAGATCTGGGGTATGTCACTGAAACCCTCCATATTCATTTGAACACATTTGTGATAAGGAAAACATGTTCAGACAGCTTCATATAGCACCTTCATATAGCTATTGCAAGGACTAAATGAGTTAATAACGTGGTCCTGTGGACTGAACCCAGGGTTGCTCTACCACTGAACTGTATACCCAGCCCTCCAACTTTTTTTTTTTTTTTTTGAGACAGGGTCTTGCCATGTTGCTTAAGTTAGTCTCAAACTTGAGATTTTTCTGCCTCAGCCTCCTATACAGCTGAGATTACAAACATGCGCCACCATGCCCAGCAAATAAATGAATTCATGTAAAACACCCAGGAGCAGTATTAGACACATCTCAGTCCATCTCTGCTACTACTACAAAATTCTACAGACTAAGTAATTCAATAAGCAATAGATATTTTAGTCTCATAGTTGTAGAAAGTGGGAAGTCTAAGATCAAAGCACTAACATATTTAAGAGTTGTTCTTTGCCTCCAAGCTGGCCGCTTCTTGCTGTGTCCTTAAGAAAGGAAGAATGCTGTGTCTTCACATGGCATTAGGGACAGAAGGTGGGACAGAGAAGCAGCTCTCTCAAACCTCTCTTACAAGGCACTAATCCCATGCACATAGACTCTGCCCTCCTGACTTAATCACCTCCTAACACCCCCCCCCCCTCACTGGGAATTGAACCCAGGAGCGCTTGCCTAGTAAGCCAAATTCCCACCCCTTTGTGCTTTGTTTTGTTTTGTTTTATTTTTAGATAAGGTCTCCCTAAATTGCCCACACTGGCATGTAAATTACAATCCAACTGCCTCAGATTGCCCAGTAGCTGGAATTCTGCCACTGTGCCCAGCCATACCCACCTTTTAATATTATCACATTGATTGCTGAGAGCCATTGCCAAGTAGGAATGACGCATCGCAATATCTTTGTCAGCCTACTCCATGTTGCTTAGAGGAAGGACTCTCCATGGTGGACCCAGGTTTTGCAGTGACTTTGCATGAAAGGTGACCTTGCTCAAGGACCAGGGCGGATCTGGGTTTAGGGTAGATCAGGGTTTAGGGCAGATCGGGATTTAGGGTGTTCAGGGTTTAGGGCGGTTCCAGGTTTAAGGTGTACCCTGCTGGGAATAGGGCGTATCCTGCTGACTCGCGGGATTCAGAGAGTATTTTGGGATTCAGAGCCCAGTGGAGAGTGTGGATTTTGCCCAGAACGTGTTTGTAGAGTGCCGTGTGAGTTCGGGAATAAAGAGTTTCTGTTTGAATCTACAAGGTGTGTGGTGGCTCGTGATTTTGTGCCCAGCCAGACTGCGGCAATTGATAGCAAAGTTTCAACATTTGAACTTTGGAGGAGAAATTCAGACCATAGCACATAATAAAAACTAAAAAGGTATTAGTTGTCCCCATTATTGTTCCCACGTTCTTACCTTTTATATTTTCTCAAGAGTAATCTCTTCTTTCTGAAAGTCACTCCTCTAGTAGAGAAAGATATCATCTTTCTGATTCTGATCCTAGTTATCTGCACTCTGTTAGAGATCTCTCTCCAAATTAGCCTATTTCTTCTCACGAACTTAAAAAAAATTCCTGTTTTTATTGTCCTTGAACCTATTATTTTTGTAAAATTTTACTTGTTCTAAGATTATGTGTCTAACTTTGGCATTTATTATTTAAAAGCTTCATGGCAGGTCAGTTTGTGACCTTTCTCCTGAATTCCAGCTTTAAACCTCATGGATCAGAGCCCTTATAGACCTGTTAGTAATTTTCCTACTATAATATAAATACATTTAGTAGCAACTCAATGCAGTAGCATTGTAAAATTACCTATGGTTCAAGATTTTTAATTACAAAAGGACAAATGTAACTCAGTACATTCATATTAACTTGACATGATTTCAAGTCTCACATATCTAAAGAAAAGCCAAAATTATCAATATTATATATCTCCATGAACAACACAGGTCTAGAGAGCTGGTTTCAAAGTCAATAAATAGTTCTGTTTTAGCTCTAGATAAGGATTTAATTTTGTGTACATTGCTTTTTTTGTTTGTTTTGTTTCCAGTTTCACTTAAGGCTCAAATTTGAACATACTGAAAATTGTTTTACTATTTTACTAACTACCTTATACCATTTTCCCCCTAATATATTCAATGATGCTACAGTATAAATTGTCATTATTCAAAAACAAAAATTAAGATTGACACATCAACTTATCTAGCATTTAGATATTTTTTATAGAAGCATGGAAAAAGTCATAGTCTTTCCTTTCTAAAAGTATCTTAGTCCTTTCAGACTATAGTGGAAAATACTTAAGACTGAGCAATTTAGAAAAAAACATATTTATTGTTATAATTCTGTGAAGTTCAACTTCAAGGGGCCCTCAGTGTTCATGAAGGTCTGTTCCTCATGGATGGCACCTTCCATGTGCTCTCACAGTTCTGGAGCAGCAAACAAGCTCTCAGGCTGCTTTTGTAAGGGCACTAATCCTATCCACAAGGGTAGAGCTTTGGGGAGGTGAATAGGTCACCAGGGCTTCCACAAATATTACAAATTACATTTTAACTGCAAATTTAGGGTAAGGAAAACATTCAGATCACAATAAGAAATAAGGATCAAGAGCGAAATGAAAGTTTCTTTAAGTTATATAGTTGGTGAGGAGCTAGAGCCAAAGTACATAAAAACAGTCCCACCTTTCCATTCCTTCTTTCCCTCTCTCCTACTTCCCTTTCTTCCTTTTTATGTTTATTTATTTTTGTAGGATCAGAACGTGACAATCAGTACATTGATGTCCGCCCACCAATAAGTTTGTAATCTTCAGGACAGATTCCCTAAGTTGTTCATACTTCATAGCCAACAAAGTAGGCTCTTTGTCAAGGTCATTGCGACAATCAGTGTCTAGGTAGGTGACATATGTTCAGGGGACAAGCCAGTCAAGAGTATGGTCCTGTCTATGGTTGCTATATCTAGTACTTACTCGCAGAGGAATAGTTTCAGGGAAAGGCTAACTAAAAGCTAGCCCTGTGTACCTTCCTTTCCTGTCCCCATCCCTTCTCAGCAGCTCAGCACCTCCACACAGGCACCATTCTGTCAGCTTCTCCAAATTCAGAGCAAGTAGACAGCACTATTCTACCTGACCTAAGGACAACGCTCAAATGAGATAATCATAAGCACTTCTATAATTTTTATACATTTTGAGCCAAATAATATGTGCAACATTTCCATGTTTCAGTATGTGAGTCTTAACATTTGGATTTTTTTTCCCATATCTATATACATGCTTTAACAATCCTAGAAATTTATTTCTTTTCTCTCTTTTTCACATTTTGCTTTTAAAAATATTTGCCATAAAGAATGAGTCAGACTATTGAGACACTTAGTCAATGAAAAGCTAAATGAGTATCCTAAATGTGTATGTTTGCACATCATTGGTTTTATAGTCTAAAAGACTTCATGTGTTATTTGCTATATGTAGCAATATGATCCTTCTTGAAAACATAAACTAAACTTTGCCCTGAATTCCTCTCAGTGTTAATACAAGTTGCACATGACTAAATCAAAACAGAATTTGTGCCCCCTGGCACAACACAATAAGGACTCTAGAGTGCAGAACTACTATAATACAAAATAGAAATGAACCTAAATATGGGGGTAATGGGTTTGATTCTTCAATAAAATAAAATTGTAATAGCTATCACATTTTATATTTTAAATGAGTAGGAATTAGAAAGGGCTCAGAATGTTAGATCTTGGCAAATTAGCGAGTATGAATAATTTCCTAAAGCAAAGGTATTACATTTTCTATACAAATAATGTGACCTTTAATAATGTGACCATTTCAAGCCACTCTTAAGCCTTCTTTTTATTATTCTATTCAGTCATGTAACAAATCCTTAGATTAAACCCAATGTATGAAATGTGTGGTGCTAGTTAGACAATCTGAGGAATCTAAAATAAACAAGCCTTGGACTCTATTCCAAAGAAGCTAAAAATCTAGTAAAGTTACTGAAGGAAAATCGGGAATTAAATGACAACATGTGATATATGGATGTATAAATTGGAGTCACTAACAAAATTATGAAATTAGTTGAATTTGTGGGTGCACATTTTGTTTGGAAAACTTTCAAATGATTGCTCTATAAGTAAATATATTTTATTTAGAAATATATCATTTTTAAAATGTCTTCTCTTAATTTTGTTTCTTTTATATGTGAGGAAATACTTCACAACTCAGACTCCTAATATCAGATGAAATATTGGAACAGTTTGAAAATAATTTTAGATATTTTTGATAAAAAGAAATAGAAGTATATCCTAAATGTGTAAGCCTGATTAAAATAAAATAAAGCTCGGAAACCTGAATTTACTGATAGACACAATGGTAATGATAAGTAATATCTGAACGTTTGTGATGTTTAGATTCTGGGCACATACTATATCATATTTTCATAGTTTAATATGAAAATTGCTTATCCTTACTTCTACTTTGTTATAATTACAATTTTAGGGTACACAGCATTATTTTCAGAACAAGTACTAAAAATTAAAATTTGAATACTACTTTTATGTTTTAAAGTTTTAAGTTCATTGCTTAGAAACAAAAACTTGAGCACTCAATTCATTGGAACCTTGTTGATAGTATGCATTTATGCCCACTGTGGGTTCCTCTCTACTAAGACCAACCTTTAAAAGGTACTTGTGAAAAAGTAAAAAAATAAAATAAAAAAATAAGGTCCTTGTGTATAATAATCAATTTTAGTTATAGACAATTCTTTATTCTATACATGATAAAAAGAGCTCTAAAGAAGTATTCAGAAAGGATTTTTATCAAATTAAGAAGGATCTATTTTGGATGAGGATACAAGCAAATTAACATTAATAAGACTAAATCTGTAGTCTAGAATAACAAGTTGACTTGTCATGTCAGAATAGAATTTTGAGTTAAAATATCATTTTTTACAATAGCTGCTGCATTTGGAGATGTGGAGAGTCTCAAGTACAATTTTGAGTTTATGTGAAACAGGATATTGATAAATAAGGGTATCTATTGCATATATTCCCCTGGTTTCCTCTCAAAAAGATATTCTATTAATTTTTATGACTGCTGTACTAAATTACCATAAACAGTGAATTAAAGAACCCAAAGTATGCTATTTTACAGTTATGGTGGCCAGAAGTACAAAATGGGTTTCACCAAGTGACTGTCAAGCTTTCATGAAAGCGGTGTTTCTTTTGTAAGTTTGGGGGCTGATCTGTTTCTTGCCTTCTCCAACATCCAGGGGCTGCAAACATTATTTGACTCCTTGCCCCTTCCTCCAGCTTAAAACTAGCAACGTAACATCTTCAGATCACTCTCTCTGACTCTGACTCTTCTGCCCTTCTTCCACATTTAAGGACTCTTGTGTGATGACATTGGGCCTACTGAGATATTCCAGGATAAGCTCCTTATTTTACTGTTATATTATTAACAAACTTTATTTAATTTGTAACCTTTCTTTCCCCTTGCCATGAGATGTATATTCACAAGGTCTGGAGATTAGGATGTAGAAATATTTGAGGGACATCATTCCATCTACCCATAGACAATACTAAGTTTTTAAATAAAGTATAAATTCATTTTCCCTGAATAACATTCTTTATGTTGTTTCTGCTCTAGATGACTTTCCTGGTGTTACCTAACACATTCCAGTGTAGTTATGAAGGGCACCTTTGACCCTCTGACGTAAATATGCTATTCTTTGCTACTCTATACACCCTGGTTAAATGTGTTCAAAAGGTTAATCTAACTGGTTTACATTTGGAGAGGAACTCAATGTATTCTCAGTTCCATCCTAGTAGATTTCTAGGAAAGAGATTAAAACACATTTGGATAAATCCTAACATAAAATTTTTCATTGGAACAGACTTAGTTTGATGCTTCATTTCAAATTCTTATGGATACAGTGCATTTGTATTTAATAAAAGTTTTATTTAATTGACATTTAATTTTGGATGTGAGCTGAGTTCATAATATTTAAAAATCAACATATTGCAAATGCTTAAATAACTCATTACTTTTTTCTTTTATTCTTCACAGAGATCTAATTTACAAAGATCCGATGATTGGTGTTATCTTAAGTAAAAAAAATCCAAGTAACATTTAGCTTTTAATTAAAATACATTTAAAATGTATATTTGAGCAATATCACACAATTTTTATTGTAAGAAAAATAAAATATGCAGAACTAGACTAAAATTCTGAATAATTATAGTCAGTCATTCATTTAGTCATTTTTTTACTAACTCATGCTACAGTTTTAGACATTAAAGGGATTCCAGAGGTCCTCTCTTATAAGCTCTTCATTTTTTAAATGAATAAGATGGGACCTATAAAAAAGAATTAGCAACCAACCTCAGAGTTGGTCAGTAGAAAGTTTACAAATAGGATCTCAGATAACCTGACTCTCAACCTCTCAAGCTAATGCTTGTATTGGACTATAACTTTTTTTTTTTTTTTTTTTTGCAGTACTGGAAATTGAACCCAGGGGCAGGGGCACTCTGTCACTGAAATGTACCCCTAGACCTTTTTATTTTTTATTTTGAGACAGGGGCTCACTAAACTCCTGAGGAAACTGACCAAACTTGAGATCATCCTGCCTCAGCCTCCTGAGTAGCTGAGATTACAGGTATGTTACTGTACCAGCAGACCTTTCTTAATAAATATATAGGAAATGAGGAAGAGAAGATGAGATCTAAGAGGCAGTCTCTCAGAAATGCATGGGCTTTGATAAATTCTGACATCATTTTAGCATATGAAGAAATGACAGGATGTTCCCTCCACCTTCAGTGCCCAAAGTTTAATTCATGTAGCTCATTAAAGCTAGTTTCATATCAGAAGCCAGCCCTTCCAGAAGACTACTTCTTATTCCACTGGGCACATTTGAACTAAGGATTGTTTTACCAGCACGTATTTTCTACCATTCAATGTGGAGATTTAAAAGAGCAGCAATGGATATTTTTATAAATATATTCTGATTTTAATGAAGACAAAAATTATTATTTTATGTCTGAAACATAACTGGGCAAATATGGGATCAGTCCCTAAAGAGAATTAAACAGAAATGGGATTTCAACTATGAATATCAGATATTTAAATTCATATGCACAATATGCTAAGGAAATTAAAAGGCAAGTCCCAAGAGCAAGTCATAGTATATACATTTGCCCAGATCATCTTTTCACTTCTAACCCAGGAGAAACTGTTCTTAATTCTCACAGTTCCCTCAAATATCATCTGAGGGTATCCTGGTTGGGGTATCAGGATAGGGATTAAGAGAAGGTAATAATATTTCTATTGGACACATCCTACATTGCCGAAAAAAAAGCATAAATAAAATGGCAGACACTTGAACTCACTTAAAATTCTGGTATCCTCCAGAATATGGTTTTTAAGTGAAAAATAAATTACAACGGGTATTATGTCAAAAGAAAGATTAATAACTAGGAAGACTTTTCCAACATAGAACAAAAATGTTGGCCAGATAAGAAATTATATAAATACAACACATAATATGATTAATCTCAATCATTTTAATAATACCTGACATTACAAGGAAGTATGTATTCTTTTTCTACATTGTGCACCTAATCCATTATGTAGAAAAACAGATCTAAGCCCAGGGTTGTGTTACCAAGGGAGGTTGAAGAGTCTCTCCTGGGGGGTCATAAATATAGTTTTCCATCTGCCTGAAACTGTTTAGGTGAAACATGCCTGAAGTCAGGGGCTGGATCAGATGATCTCTGGGGGTCCCTTCCTGCCTTTTGAATCTTTGAGAGAAATTTCTAATCAGCATGTTAATGAGTACTTTAAATTTGTATTCTGGTTTCCTTGAAGATAATTACCAGAAACACTAAGTGGAGAGAGCATTTCTGCATGCCTGCTTAAAAGAAGAAGATAAAGAAGAAATAAAGAATAAGGATTGTGCTTGAAAAGAAAAAGCAAAAGAAAATAAAAATGTGACCCACTCAATATCAAAGAGGTAATTACCTGGGAAGATGGTATGGTTCAGTGGTCTTGGTAACATCTGAGAAAGTCCAAGGTTACTAGTTCTGTTCCTTTCTCTCATGATGTCTTGCTGTGTGACCCAGGGCAAGTCACTTGACCTTAGTTTCCTCATCTGAAAACACAAGAGCCTGGGAGTTGTGCTTGATTACGTGACTAATATCCAGCCACAGGAATTGAATGAAGAATGGAATTTCATTTTTGGCTTCATCACTATTGCGGCAATGACAGATGGGGATCACATGAATTAGGTTAGTCCTTGCGCTTCATTAACTGACAGAAAAAAATCTAAAGGATGCGATGTTAAACTAAACTTTGAAACCCTTTTAGGATATCTTTATTTTACATATTCTATTGATAATAAATTGAGCAAAGATTTATTTTTACTTTTGCATTTGGAATGTCAATTGTGATATAATCCTGTGTGTTCAATTTATCCAGTTACTCCAAAATTGGTGCTGGAAGAAGGGGAATGGATAAATTCACACTGGATTACAACATGTTTTTTTTTCTGTACTTATGTTTTAAGGGGGAAAACTTTTTGTCAATAGTGATGTATAGCTGTTTAATAAATGTGGAATAAGAATGTATCAGTCCAAATGATTTTTCTCTTTCTGTTCTACTTTTCTTTACCAATCTTAGAATAAATTTAATTTAAATTTTCATGTGTTTCTTGGCACAATATGTGATTTTTACTATATGACTAAGCTGACAGATTTTCAAACCTGATACATAGGGTAAATGCTTAGCTCCATACTATTTTCAGGAAAACGTTTTCTTCTTCTAGAAATTGTTGTTTGTTTTAATAAACATGCCCTAAACCAGAATTCAACCAAGTAAGGGATTAAACTTACATATAACACAGAGGACAATACACTCTCAAATCAGCTAAAAATTATGTTTCTGGTTGGGCATGGTGGCTTATGCCTGTAATCTCAGAGATCGAGGAGGCTGAGATAAGAGAATCACAAGTTCAAAGCCAGACTAAGCAACTTAGCAAGACCCTGTCTCAAAACAAAAGCAAAAAAAAATTAAAAATAAATTAATTAATAAATGAGCTGGGAATGTAGATCATTGGTTAAGTGCTCCTACCCCCTTCAATCCCTGGTACCAAAAAAAAAAAAAATCTCTGACACTCCCTTTAGAGAAAGAAAATTTCAGATTTTAAACAAAATATATGACAAAGAAATGAATGACATTATGTCTGAGATCAGGCTTGGAAACCTGAAACATCTTTACAAGATTTGATCTCTGAGTACTGGGTTGTAAACATTACTTTTATTTTAAAACACTATATATTTCCACTAAAGACAAAGACCCAAACCCATTCTAAAATCCTAGTTTTGTATTTTGGTGTGAGATTGCAATTATACAGTCTTTTGTTCATGAATGTTAAAGACAGGGTAGGGATATCAGAAAATACTGCTCTACATGAGGTTTGGGGAACCATAAATTCTGGTTCCAACTCTGCTATTTAGCTTTTAGATGGCATTATACCTTAGTCTCACCATCTGTACTGTATGAATAATCATACTTTGCTAAGTCACAGGTGTGTTGTAAAGAATACACAATAAAAAGTAACTCTGAACATGTAAATGTTCTCAAAGCCAATACAATAAGGAAACAAATGGTCAAGAGATAATAAAACAAATAGGTTGACACTCTAATGAAACTATGAGAATCACATTTAACCTGAAAAAAAAAAAAAAGACATTTTTCTAAGACTATTTACTTACCTCAATTTTCAGGTGATTTTGTTTTATCCACATTCCTCAATCTGTGAGGAACAACAAAGGAGAAAAATAGGTTCTAACACTACAGTGTCTTTTGGTATCTCCCTCCCCCCACTTCAGTGCTGGTGATTGAACCCAGGGGAACTCTACCACTGAGCTGCATCTTCAGCTGGCCTTTGTACTTTTTTTTTGTTTTTTCCCAGATAGGGTCTGCCTAAATTGCCCAGGCTTGTCTCAAACATGCAATCCTCCTGCCTCAACCTCCCAGTAGCTGGGATTACAGGAATGCTCCACCATGACTGCCCAACTCTTTTGACACCTCGTAAAGGATCAGCTAATTGTGGGGTTTTGTGGTAAGTTTATGCAATACTTAATATGTGGAGTGATATCTTTAATAAAAGATGTATGAAGGAAAGAATGTGGCAACTAAAAGGAACTCCCTCTCGTAACCCCTCTTTATCTCCTGGTATTGACTTTTATTAACATTACACTGGTAAAATGGGTAACAAAACCTTTGTATCTCTTCCTTTTAAATTTGAAATTCCAAGGATACCCAATCTATATGCCCAACTTAGGTAAGATATCTACCTTTTGGGTATTCAGGTTTAGAGTAGAAAGTTCAGAGTCGATATGGCCATTAAGTACCCACTTTTTCTTATTAACATGCCATTCCCAGATAAGGAGAAAATTACTATGAATCAAGAAATCTCCCCACATTGGTGAGTTCCAAAGGCATATTACTAAGTGGTAGCAATCCTTTCTCATATAGGCAAAAGATAACAAACTCACTTTCTTCATTTTATGCTTGAAAGAGCATTCTCTACCATATATTACCAGTCAAACACTTTTTTGTCTTAACCTCTTACCCTTCATGAAGAAAATCAGAGTTTGGAAACGCAGAGTTGGAACGTTATGTGTTTTGAAAATTCCTTCCTTTGAATAACTTTCGGGGAGGATTTCACTACCAACATAACCACTTTCTTTTACCAACCTCCCTTAGCATCTACCTTTTGTGAAATTTGAACTTCTTAAAAATAACAAAAACAAGCAGTTTAAGCTTATTTAGTGTTAGGAAAGTCAGAAGGAAAGAGAATTTCAAGGATGGGTAGTCAAACCTGTTAAAATCATGCACAGGGGATGAAGTAGAAAAAAAGGCCATTGTATCTTGTGATTATCATTTGTGACATTCAGAAATGCAGTTTCATTTGTGTAGGGGCACAGGGTCAAAACACATTGAGCTAAAGAGCAAGTGAGGCTGAGAAAGGAAATGGAGGAAGGAAGTATATACTGCACTTCAGAATCTGAGATTGAAATGAAGGGAAGTGGATTGTTTCCAAGACCCTTGAAGTATAACCTCTCCATCATGCCTCACGACTTCTGGTGGTATATATAGACCTGGAAATCCTCTTTTATTTACTGGGTCCAAACATGCATGGCTTATAAAGAGAGATAAGAAACATGGTTAGATTTTGTCTAGCATTTCCTCGCGTCCAGGCCCTAGCCGATTTGAAGGGTACCCTGGAACACCTTAACTTTTACCACTCATTGCTTTTCTTTTTTGTCCTTCTTCACATCTCCACACCCTCAAAGGACCAAGATTTATTAGTTTATCTTGTAGTCAAGGCAACAAATACTATGAATGTGAGGTTTCATCCTGTCCTTAGTTTGGAACAGTGTAGAGCACCTTTTGAGTGCAACATCTAAGAGACAAATATTGTTCTATTAATATTTATTACCCTAAAGGAGTGAAGAAAATAGAACAGGAAATGTATATTCTCCCATGGGTATATTTATAGCAACATGAAAGCTTTCAGTGGAAACACAGTGATGAAAGATGGAAGCACCATTATTTATCAAACTGATCTGAAGCTTACCTACATCATAGCCACCTAGGGTGCTTATCTGTGTACACAAATTTTTCAGGCAAAAAAACAAAACAACAACAACAAAACAAAAAAAAAAAAGGAATTTTATCCTTGGAAAGAAAAAGGAATATATTTGCCTCAGAGATGTAAGCAAGGTGAAATAATCCACTCACAATGGATGATCTTTGTGAAAAAATATACAGGTAGATGCTTAATAACTAACCTGTAATACATTAGTTTTCTAAGCAATATAGGAACTAAAGTTCCCCATTGAGAAAGAAGTAAATGGGTGGAATGGTGAGTCAAAAAATAGAGAAATGTTAGAATGGCAGTTGTGTTTAATTCTCTAGGAATCAATGATATTTTCTTGTTTATAAGCAACATTTTTAAAGACATTTTTACAGCTGATGATAACTTACAATCACGTCTGCCTAAATCTTAATGTGAACTTTATCATGTCTCTTCTTATAGTTACTTAATTTGAATTATGTGCATTGCTAAAAATGTCATCAAAGAGATTACTCAATGATTCAGTCTTGCAACAATAAGTTATTCTGTACTCAGAATGCCATGAAAATGGAGAAGTGGGGCATGAATTTGATATTAATGAAGCAAATACTTACCACAGGAGGGAGAAATGAATACAATTTCACAATTTCTTGCAAAGAATAATCAAAGTTTTAATGAGATCCACACATATAAAATATTCAAATTACTAGAATATGTGTTATTAGATTAGCTATCTTATACCAAGAGATGAAACTATACGCAAGCATATTAATATGTCTAAGATTAAGTTAATGAACTTTCAATGAAAGGAGAAGCTGGAGTGACTACTTTAATTATAGAACAGGTTTGTCTTTAAAGATTTGATAGCCATTTGTCAGAATGTTCCAGCTAATTGAATGGTAGCATTTCTTCCTTTAGCAACAAGTGATTAAATTGAAGAATACAACAAATATAAGTTTATCCAAATAAGATAAGATTCTAAACTTGGGGCTGTTTGACAGACTTCATAATTTTCCTGTCAAAATTAAACACACTGAAAAGATAAAGATCATGAACATGAATGAAGAATGGCAATACTGCCATGGCCCAAAGTATGTCTTGTGTTGAATTTTTAACATCAAAATGCTTCTGAAGAGTATGTGCCCCAAGATGCTACTCTGTTTGTTTTGTGCATGCAAATGAGTGTGCACACATGCATGCATACATGTACACATGCATAAATATAAATAGATAATGGCTGAGCTGCTGAACTAGCTGTTATCTGAAATACACAATGAGGATCCCTTCTTAAGGGTCAATATTTCACTTTTTTGTTGTTTTTTTAGGTTAGTGGACATGCATCAACTGTTTAAAAGTTTAAAAGTAAGCTAATCCCCAAATATAGTTGTTGTTGTTACTCTCAGTGTAAGTGGACAAATGCAAATTCATAATTTTCAATCATCAAGGAAGGGCATGCATCTGTGTTGTTGAAAGAAAATGAATTCTTGAAACAGACTGGTAAGATTGATGGAGGATCAAGTTTCGAAGTCTATAAGAGACTCAGTTTTATACTCAGAGTCCAAAACTAAAATTGGGTAAAGGGTGGATAGAAAATGCTTGTAAATTCTTTGCAACTTTCCTGTGAATAAATAAAAGAAATCTGAAATTAAAGTTTGTTAGAAGAAATAAAATATAGAAGAACATAAGGAAGTCATAAGAAATAACTGGGTATCAGTAGCACATAGAAACACAGAGGAAAATAATGGGTAGAAATACAGTCATTGATTAGTGATTCAAAAGATTAAAATTCTAAAATGGGAATATGTTGTAAGAATTCCATAAACATTAAAATAGATACTTACTAAAGTCATATAATCTGCACAAGGGATAAAGTCTGCTTAAATTTATCTAATATGCATTCATAAAATAATACTTTAAAAACTTTGGTACAACCAAATTTAAGGGTTTTTTTTTCCAGTAAGCATAAATATTTTTAATGTAAATTTTAGGAAGGTATTATGTCATAACTTAATTCCCAGATTTGTTTTTCCTTTTCAGTAGGCCATAATAATCCTTCTGAGAATTGAAGGTATCTTAGATTAAATTAAGTACTGTAATAGGGATTTTACGCTGTTTGCCACTTATCTTTCTATTCAAGCTCACTGATGTTTCCATTTGTGTATCTTGTAATACATAAAAAACTTGTTCTAAGAATTCTACTAAAAAGTTAATGAAGACAAATGTGTGCTTAAAGTACTCATAGTCTAATTGGGGAGAAAAGTAGAAATAAATAATTATAAGTGTAGTAAAGGTGTATGTGAAATGCTATTATTGAACATCTAGAGGGAATTCACTGGCTCTGTGTGGGAGGGTTCTAAGAAGACTTGAGAGGAGAGATTAGGACTAGATCAGGAAATGGTTCATCTGACTGAAAATAATGTACTTTGGACATAGGAATAACATGCAGAGTAGTGATAAAGTGACATAGAATATTCAGCAAAAGTGTGAGGGTTAGGGAAACAGAATCACATTAGCAGTGAGGGTAAGCTGGAACCAGATTTGTAAGATTTGGTTTGCAGTGATGAGGCAGTTGTTGTAATATTTACTTACTTATTTTATGTTGGTAAAGTATGAGAACATGCAATTAATTTATCTTTGTAAGTGTACATATGGTTCAATAGCTTTAAGTATACCCATGTTGTGGTGCCAAGTTTTGATTTTTGAGAAGATAATTTTGTGCAAGATGAATTGAAAGTACACCAGATAAAGGATTAATTGAATATTTTATTTTATTTTTTTTTATTTTTAATTTTTGTGTGTGTGTGTGGTGGTGGTGGTGATTGAACCCAGGGCCTTGTGCATTCGAGGCAAGCAAGCTACCAGTTGAGCTATAGCCTCAGCCCATGAATTGAATATTTCAACAGAGTTATGATAGACTGAAGAACATTTAGATTGAAGAACAGTAGAACTGTTAGAACAGTTAGATTGAGAACAGTATTAGAACTGAAGAACAGTATATTGAGACAATTAAGATAAAGTTTGTAGGAGGGATATAATTTGGGGCAAATACAAATGAGTTCCACTGAAGACACATTTTGCTTCATAAGTATATGAGACACCTATGTGAAGCTCTCTAGTACACAATTGAAAATAGTTTAGAGTTTAGGGAAGATGCGGAGCTAGAGTCATTAACTGTCTTAAGGGACATGCAAGAAAGTAAAGAAAAGACATCCAGAATGGAGCCATGATGAGACTCAGCACTTAAGAGCTCACTAAGAACAAGGAGTCAACAAAGGAGAGAATTAAGGAATAAATAGAAGATCTAGAAGAACTGGATGTTTTAAAAAGCAAATTTAACAGCATCAAATATTAATATAAAATCAGACAAAAATTTTATATGTAGTTTATAGGATTTGACAATTAGAAGGTCATTGGCAACTTTAGCAAGAGTGATTCTATACTATGGGAGGCAAAGTTGTGAGCAGAAGGGGGATTATAGTAGTGTGAAGAAAAACAAAAGGAAAAAAATAAGAACAGAAATGTGATGAACTAAGAATAATGGTAGATAATATTTACACTATGTAAATGGTAGATAATATTTACACTATGTCAGGAATTGCATCAGGTATTTTGTAATATTTTGCCATTTAATTCCACTACTGAGCTTGCACAATAGGTATCTACATTTTATTTTATTTAATTTTTTTAAAGAGAGAGAGAGAGATAATTTTTTTAATATTTATTTTTTAGTTCTTGGCGGACACAACATCTTTGTTTGTAGGTGCTGAGGATCGAACCCAGGCCGCACGCATGACAGGCGAGCCTTGAGCCACATCCCCAGCCCCGGTATCTACATTTTAAAGAGTAGGAAATTCAGACTTAGACAAACTTATGTCACCTGTCTAAGGACACATCACTTTCTATATCTTCTATAAGTGTTCAAGCCAGGTTTCTACTATATGCCCCTGACAGGAGTAACTGAAAATTCAGGATATGAAAAAAAGTAAATATGATGTATTATTTTAAGAACTGTGACCACAGATATAAAAAGAAAGGAAGGGAGCTGAATCAGTCCCTGAGCAGGTGGTAATGCTAAGGTGATGTTTGGTGCTGTTGTCCTTAGGATGGGGAGGGCAGTTGTTTATAGGTTGCAGAAGACTTGAATTATTTTAATTCGATTAGTAGAGTTTTACAAAGAAAAAGATAGAAATGATAATTATTGGAGTGAGATCACAGATAAAGAAAGAGAATTGAATTTCCAGCTCATGGGTGAAAGGTTTACTTTCTGAAAATAAGAGAAATCTCGTCTCAGAGATATTGAAAAGGAGGAAAGATGTGTGGCAGTGTATATAGGAAACTGAACCTGTTAGAGAAGCAATGTGATTTTTGATTAACGTGCATCTTTGATAATATTGTGGTATATGGTTAAGGATTTGAAGAGTATAGTAAAGATTTGGAACCAATGTTTTAAACAATCAGAAAAGAAGCTAATTATAATATCAAGGGTACACTTCAAAGGAGAGGCCATAACTTTGTGTGAACACAGGGACATTGTAATGTGATTCATCTTCCCCAGTATGTGAGACACTGATAATAAAAGAAGATTGAAGACAGGGCTTGTATTGATCCATAAATAGCAATTGTTATGAGGGTGTAGTAGAAAGATAAGAAAGGAAGAGAATTCAGGAGGAAAGTGTGAAAATACCATTACTGTGAAGTCAGCACAGAGCTGCTAAACAGGGTAGAGTTCATTACTGAATTTCTAGTTGAGGTCAAAGAGAAACTCTCATGCAGTCAGAGACTGCAAAAGAGGGAATATAGGTAGTTGAGAGAATACTAAAATTTCAGAGTTGAGGTTCTCAGGGGCACTCCTGAGAATTGAGTGTTCCATCTTTGTTTTTATTTTTTATTTTTTTTCCTCTCTTTATTTCTTGTAGTACTGGGGATTGAACCAAGGGGCACTCTACCACTGAGCCACATCCTTAGCCCTTTTTAGTTTTTATTTTGAGATAGGGTCTCCTTAAGTTGCCCAGGCTGGCCTGCGACTTGCAATCCTCTGGCCTCCACCTCCCCAGTTGCTAGGATTACAGTTATATGGTAGTATGCCTGAGCAAGTGGTCCATCTTGAAAGAATTTTGCTAAAGAGGAGGAAAGAAAT